TTTTTTTTTTTTTTTTGTTTTTAAGGAATACAATCAAAAAACTATTATATTGGTAGTCAATATGGAATCAAAATTCAAATAAATCTCCTTTTTTGTGGCTGCATATAAATCTCCTCTTTTCAATGTTACATATCCTGCGTTAATTAAGAGTGCCAAAAAAAAAAGATTCAGCTAAATCAATTCATCAACTAATTAAATAATATAATAATACATTTGAGAGATTCATGAAAGTAGGACTCTCATGTAAATCAATTAATCAACTATTTTTTTTTTTATTTCACGCAAGAAAAATCTTATACCATTTAATTTTTAATCCATTCTCATATTTTTTTTATTAAAATACAATCCCAAAAATCATATTAATATAAATTAATATATATTAATAAATTCCTATATATATATAACATATTTTATCAACTTTTCTAATTCCTTCACATAAAAAAAAGGAAAAAAGAACTTTCGCAATATAGAAAAAAATGGCTTCGTTATTTGATACACCCCATGCAGTTAATAGGTCCAACAAGCTACAATTTCACACTCATATTGTATCTATAAGTTAAACATGTTGTGTATATATGTGTGTGTTGAACTTTTTGTAGACGTGGTTTACATATAAAATAATTTAGAAAAATTTAGGTGACCCACATTTTTTAAGAATAATATAGAACATTTTAGATAATCTTACATATGTTATATAACAATTTATGTGTTTTTAATATTTTAAACATACATATTTAATGTTCTTTTAATAAAGATAAAAAACTATAAAAATATTAGTGAATATTATTTAGCTAATAAAATATTTATAATCAGTTATTCCGCTTTTTTCTAATCTATAATTTTATTTGATTTATAAAATATAATTAACAGATATAATTATAGGTTAATCACTTAAATGATAATTATATATGTATATATATATTTATATTAAATTGTGAATATTTCTTATAACACCTACATTAAGAAATTTCAAATTATGATTTATTTTTCCGTTTAGTTTTCATATCTTTGTATTTGTTTTTTTATTTCCATCTCTTTTGTAAAAACTTCGAAACATTTTTGCATATTATTTAGTTTGTATATATAATATTAAATCAAACTTTGTTTTACAAGCTTCAATTTCGCACTCATATTGTATATATAAGTTAAACATGTTGTGTATATATATATGTGTATGTTGGACTTTTTTTAGACATGTTGTATACATAAAATAATTTAAAAAAATTTAGGTGAGCTCACATTTTTTAAGAATAATATAAAATATTTTAGATAATATGACATATGTTATATAACAATTAGGTGTTTTAATATTTTAAACATACATATTTAATGTTCTTTTAAACAAGATAAAAAAAACTATAACAATATTAGTGGATATTATTTAGATAATCAAGTACAATCGATATAAAATGATAAATCAACAACTCAGCACCAGTTCCTTTTGATTTTTAGGGTTCCATTTAACAGTTAAGGTCAATCTTTTTGTATAAAAATGTATAAAAACATGAGTTAATTTAATTTAGCTAATGAAGTATAATGATATTAAAATGATAAACTAACAGCTAATTTGTCTGGCTGTCTAAGTAAATTATCATATTATAAATAGATCCATTTAAAGATTCCATTTAAGCTGCATCAGCACCAATTCATTCTAATGTTAGTGTTCCATTTAAGAGTTAGGGTCATTCTTTATGTGCGTTGGCATGTTTTTCTTAAAGAAATCGGTTCTTAGTCACTACCAATTATATGTTGTTGTTTCACGTGTACGTAATAAATAAAAGTCGTGTATTGTCATGTTCTTAAAAAATGAGTTTTTAGTCACAACCAATTATCTGTTATTGTTACGCGTGTAAGTAATAGATAAATAAGAGTCAAGGTCAACATTTATTTTACGTTGCCATGTTCTTAAACAAATTGATTTTTAGTCACATGCAATTATGTTGTTTGTTTCCTGTGTAAGTAATAGAAAATGGTTGAAAGTAGTAGTTTGTGGGGACGACAAGTTGCTTAGTTATCAAATAAATATTGTTGTGTATAATAAAGTTTTTAATAATATAATTTTTTTTTTTCATGAGGAACATTTTATTATTTGACAATTTCCTTATGAATTATCACTCTTTTATTTATTAATACATTTTAAATTTAATATTTCCCAAAATAAATACAGAAGGTTACATACTAGTGTTAATATAATATTTTAGGAGTTTTTAATTGTTTAAACATACAAATTTTATGTTATCTTGAACAATCTAATTTTATATCGTTTATAATAAAATGATATAATGTAATTTATATGACATGTTAACCATACATCGTTAATTTATAATTATCATTTACTTTTATCTTTAATTTATAATATCTTTTCTTCCTTTTTTAGGAGAAGATCAATAGTGGTTCCCAACTTCTTTCATTAGGTGACTCAAATATAATACTCCCTCCTATTCATAATAAATGTCGTTTTGAGAAGTTGCACAATTATTAAGAATATTTTTTTTTGTCAATAATAACCCAAATTAATGAAGATAGAGATGAATGTATTGAGAAAAGATGAATAGTGAATATGAAAAGATGTAGTGTATTTATTAGGTAGATAAGGGTAATAATGGAAAAATATGTACAAAATATCCAAAATAATATTTATTTTGTTAATAGTTATTAATGCTAAAATGACATTTAAAAAGAATATGAGGTAATATTTATTTAGGATTATTTTTAATATTGTTTACCCTACTAGTTTTTAATTAACACTAACAATCATTCCTGATTTGGAGGAGGAGATAATGGTAAAAGGAGCGAGGAAAGGAAATATAAAAAACTGTGCCCATAATCGTCTCGAGAACCCCACCAATTTCTGCTTCACTCTTCAAAGTTCAGCCAACCTTCTGGGCACGTCTCTGTCTCTCTCTCTAAAACCCAGATATGCAGATTCCGGTGATCGATCTCGGGCCTTACTTAGAATTATCTGGAAAAGACCCGAACCCCGATGAAGACGACCTCGATTCGGAGATGAGGATCCTTTGCGCGGAGGTCAGCCGAACCCTAAGAGATACGGGAGCTTTACTCGTCAAAGATCCACGGTGTACAGCTCAAGACAACGACCGCTTCCTCGATATGATGGAGAAATATTTCGAAATGCCCGACGATTTCAAGCGCCGGCAAGAACGTCCCCACCTCCATTACCAGGTCTGTCTGCCTCTCTCTCTCTCTCTCTCTCTCTCTCTCTCTCTCTCCCTCTCTCTCTCAGCTCTTCTCTCTGCTTCTTGCTGGGTTGGCTTGATTGTTGCATTTTGATAGTAATGATCATGATTAAGTGATTTTACTCAATTTTGACCGAGTTCTCATCTAACTTGTTCTGTAAAAAAATCATTGTGTGTTTTGTCTGTTAGACTGGTTATGTATGTGGGTCTATTAGCCATTTTGATTTGGATTATTAACAAGTGAATTCATGGATCTTAACTGCATGACATACTCTGACATTCTTGTGGTGATATGTAGATTGTTAGGCATGCAGGCATTCTGCAAATGTTTGGATTTTGCATTATCTGTCTATCTATTTATGGAACTTAAAGTTTGGTTTGAGTGAATCAATAATTTTCCCAGTCATTTGAGCTCACTGGCATCACCCGCTAAAATTGATTGTTCGATATTGTGTTCATTTGTTTCTCAGGTTGGAGTAACACCGGAAGGGGTCGAAGTACCCCGCAGTTTAGTGGATCGAGAAATGCAAGAGAAGCTAAGAGCAATGCCAGCAGAGTTTCAACCAGCCACTCCCACTGGACCAGATCCAAAGTGGCGATATATGTGGAGAGTTGGTCCACGGCCATTGGTTACCCGTTTCAAGGTCTTGTGCCTTGTAATGTATGATACAGTAGATGTTGTTAAGCTTCTTACGTGACGTGTCTTCATTTTGTAGGAACAAAACTCGGAGCCTGTCATACCAGAGGGGTTCCCTGAGTGGAAGGATACCATGGATTTATGGGGTTATAAAATGATATCTGCTTTAAAGGTGATCTCTCTCTCTCTCTCTCTCTCCCCACAGCTAATTATTCATTTGCTCATGTTGTGACATTCTATATCATTGTCAGGCTGTTGCTGAAATGGCTGCAATTGGATTTGGTTTGCAAAAGGATGCATTCACTTCTCTTATGAAGCAGGTTATTGTTATTTTGGACCTATACACCTATAATCTGTCTTTTCCTCCAATTTTTGTACGATGAATACGCCAATCAACTTTGCGCCATCCATGAAGATACATGCACGATGATTTTAAGTTCTTGGCCACCCATGATGAGGATGGAAGCATAAACTTGTGTCTTGATTTTATTCTTTTTCTTGTATATCCACCACCGCCAGAGTATCTTGGGTTTGTAAACATCAGTAGCAATACATTTGGGCTTATCAAAATTTGCTTGGGTTTGCAAGCACATATAGCAACTTGTTATAATAGTTTTGTTCTTGGAATTGTAAGACATGTGATGAACCCAAAACTAGAAATTGGAGGGCCGAGTTTCCTTTGAAAAGAATCCCTTTCATTTCAGTGCCCTCCTGCAAAGCAGATGTTTGGATAAAAAAGAAGAGTTTAGCTAATCAGAGCTACTCTTCGGAGTGCCCCTATTAACAGCCGTAGTGCTTCTTTCGAGGAAGCCACTTCGATGCGGGAGTTAATCGGGTCTTCTTCTTCGAGTATTTGCCGAGTAGCGGAAAGCAGGTTGGGTCGTCCAGAATCATGGCTTCTTTCCAGCCTCTTGGGCAGCAGTGGAATAATAGCTAGTGCGCGCATACATTGGCAAATTGGCTTTTATACTGCTATCTCGACCTTTGATTAAGAAAAGAATGAACAGTATTTGTTTTCAATTTCCGTTGGCTTGGATGAGTTTATCTGGTCCTGATCAGATTATGCAGTCTATTGAAATGGTTCTTGCAGCATAGGCATCATTTTTATATCAGAGAATATCTAAAAATCTCACAATCATTAGTTCTTATTCGAGCTAATATTGTTAGTAAGTTAAGCTGTGTTTTTAGGATCATCCCTGCTGCTGCCCTGCCGAGACAGGAAGCCAATCTTGTAATCTTATCTTATCTTTTTCATTAATCTTTCCATTCCCATACCTTCTACACAGCTGAGCTCAGGAACCCAATAAATATCATTTTTCAGAATAAATATTCATTTCGGACTGACAAGCAAATTATTCCATCACATTTGGTGGTCTAGCTTAGTAATTTGGTTGGGTTGAACCCCTCAAACTCCATCTCTCATCCAATACTTGCAGTGCTATCCTCAGCACTGCTCCAATAATGAGCCCTGAAAAACTTTTTTTCTCAGTGTGTATTTCTCTGTTGGAGTTCCTTTTTTTTCTGTTTTTTTCTTTCTTTTATTTTCTCTCTCCCCTTTGAATTTTGATGCTTTTGCTGTATTAATTTCCATTGTGGTTCTCATCGTGTATGCATTTTGCTTGTTTCGTGGACATACTCTCATAGAAGAATATTCATTTCTCTTCCAGGGATCTCACCTGCTTTCTCCGACAGGAAGTGATCTGAAACGACATGGTCAAATAGGCACTGTGTTTGCTGGGTACCATTATGACATCAGCTTTCTTACAATTCATGGCAGGAGTAGATTCCCAGGACTGAACATCTGGCTTAGAAATGGGCAGAAAATGGAAGTCAAAGTTCCTGTGGGATGCCTCCTTATTCAAACAGGAAAGCAGGTACGGGTTTCCTGTGTGTTGTGTTCTTTGTTGTCCATACATATATTAAACGACTTAGCAGACCACTATGTAAATTAAAACTGAAATAATGTTTACTGCCACTAAGCTGAGGATAATATATTACTTTTGAGGGGAGAAATAATTTTTATTGAGTTTCATGTGCCTGATATAATTCTCATTTGTGGTTCCAAGTTAATATTCCCCTTGATTTAAACTCATTGACTTAGCAGTAAACTGTTCACCTCACATCTTTTCCTATAATCATCCTCCGAGACTCGATCATCCTTTTAACAAAACCTTCACATTGTATGCGCATGTAGCTAGAGTGGTTGACTGCTGGAGAATGTACAGCTGGTATGCATGAAGTTGTCGTGACTGATCGGACTATAGAAGCAATCAGATTAGCTTCCGAGCAAAACCGCAGCTTGTGGAGAGTATCCTCAACGGTAAGTGTAGCTGTGTAATGTAAATACGAGTATGCGAGTATTTGGTTGTATTATTCAAATTATGTGCTAAAATAAAACTGGGTAAATTTTCCTTGTGTAGCTTTTTGCGCATGTAGCAACGGATGAGGTGCTGAGACCTTTAGGACACTTTGCAGACTCACCCTTAGCCTTCAAATACCCTCCTATATGTGAGGGTCAGTTTATAGAACAGGAGCTCGCCGTTATAAACCTGAAAGCAAACAATGGGAATTCCTGATGAATCATTACTCCAAGGCAGTGTGTATACTTCTCATGAAATTGATTTATATTTTTTTCCCGCTTTAACTACTCGGAATTCCCATTGGTCTGGTTTCATAACCTGATGTAAAAGGCAGTTGCATATCAATTGCCAGGTGCTTAGGTTATTGATTTCAGTGTAAATCGTTTATAAGTTTAAAAATAATAATGGGAAATTTTTACGGTCTCCTACATGAAATTGAAAATATTATAATTACACAAATAATTGTAATTCTATCTAAATAAAGATTATTTACTGCATATAAACCTAAAAGTAGTTGCATAACAGGGCGGACTTTCATCTCCTATTTTCCGCACGATTTCTGGTATCCTACTAAAAAAAATTGCTTAATGTATATGGAATGAAAATAAGAGATTAACGGTTTTGCGTAGAAAATGGAAAGAGTCGAAATTTGAATTTGAACATCAAGATCGAGTGCCCCAAACATATACTGCAAAAAATAAACAGAGAGAGTTCGATCAACAAGAACAAAAAAAAAAACAATTTGAATCTGAGGTTTATATTTCCTATCGACAGGAAAAAAAAAACAGAGATTCAAGTCGATCGAATTATAACAAGAAAAGAAAATAAACGTGAAAGTACGATTTTGTTGAGGTATATTTATTATTTGTATTTAGTTTTTTTTTTATTTTCTTTTTTTCTGGGAATTTAATGTACACGCGAAAGTCCATAGTTTTATTTATTTTATCGATGGTATATGTGATGTGATTGTTTTATTTTTTCTCCTGATGGATTTGCATATGATGATTTTCATATATCACGGAGGTGAATGGGTCATGAATGATTACGTGAATTACCAACTTTCTGGTGTTTTGGTACGAAAAGAATGCAGTTTCAACGAACTATATGGTATATTGTGTGAGAGGCTCAGGTTGATACCTCAGTCACATGTGATTGAACTAAAATATAAGCTGAAGGAAGGTTGTCCATCAATGTCCATAGACGATGATAGCAGCTAATGAAAATAGTAATCAAGTAATAAATGTGAATAAAAGCCATAAATGATTCATGGCACGTTTCTTTCAATTTTAGCAAAGAAATGCTTTTGTTTTCTTAGTTCACAGAATGCATCTTTTCACTCTCTACTCTATTTTTTATACTCTCTAACCTATACATGACGGCTATTCTCAACTAGCCATAGCAAGGAGGGTCACGTGTAAGTTCCCGGGCCATTGATCACAGCCCTCATCAAACATAGGGCTTCTTGTTTGTCTTGTCTAAATGACTTGTTTTATCTCCATGCATTGCATGATCAACACTGAGCTGGCAGACTTGCTGATCCTCACAACTGGTGACGTGTGCATGCTGCGCTGGAAAGGCCTTAATATCCCCCTTCAATTTTATGCATGTACTGGAGGTCAACATCAACTTGTTTCTTAAGCATGCAAAGAATTGTCCAGACAAGGCCTTTGTAAAGATATCAACTACTTGCTCTATTGCTGGAATATGTTGAACTGCGATTACCTTCTGCTCTAACTTTTCTCTTATAAAATGGAGATCCAACTCAAGGTGCTTTGTTCTTGAATGGTTTACAGGATTGCTGGACAAACACACATGCCCTCTATTGTCAACCCATACTACACTAGGTTTCTGGAACTTGATTTTTAACTCATCAAGAAGAGAATGTATCTACATGATCTCACAAACTACCTGAGCTGCACTTCGATACTCTGCCTCAGTGGAAGACCTAGAGACTACATGTTGCTTCTTTGAGGTCCATGAAATCAGGTTTCTTCCCATGTATACATACAAGCCACTGGTTGATCTTCTATCATCCAAGCTCGAGGCCCAATCTGCATCTGAAAGTCCAACAACATTGAAGTCCTTGCATTTGTTTAGTCTTAAGCCATAATCTCTTGTTCCAGCAAGGTACCTCAAAATCCTTTTCACTGCTTTCTAGTGTTTATCCAAGGGTGAGTGCATGAATTGACATACCTTATTAACACTGAAGGCTACATCAGGTCTAGTGAGAGTCACATATTGCAAGCACCCACAATTTGCCTGTAAAGCTGACCATCATGCATTGGTTGTCTATCATCCTTAGATAGGGGTTGATGGGTCTCCTCCTAGATCTGGAGTGAACCGGTGGAAATGAGCTCCGGTCTGTTCGAATCGTCTCCAAGTCGCCCGTGGACCGCAGTGAACACCTGCAAGAACTCAACACCGGAAGTGTTTTTCGGTGAAGAGCCTTCGACGCTCAAGTCAGTGAATGAAGAGAGAAGGAGCTCTGCTCAGTAGGAGCAGCAACTGAATATTGAATGAGGAGAATAATGGTTAGGGTTTGGAGTCACCTCTACTCCTTTATATAGGAGTAGAAATACTCACTAGAAATACCTGAAATGCCCTGGCCGACTTGCCTGAAGTGTCCAAAATGCCCTGGTCGCTTCACATTCTGCCCACTCTCTGAGTCAGCACCAAGATTCCTTCTTATCTCGTATAGATTCTCTAGCTCTGAAAAACCCCGCTTCGTCATTGAGGTAAGTTGAGCCGCCAGAAGTACTCTAAGTCAATTCGAAGCGTTGTCGAGTCGACTTATGGTCCTGTGATTATATCTGAGGTTCTCAGAATGTTCATTCGCCTTCTAGCGCATAAGTCGACTTAAACAGAGACGACTTCCTGAAGTCGTCTTTTGATCGTCCTTAGGCCAATGGTGATCCTTATATGATTGATAGGCCATGTCGACTTTGTAGGTATCGTCTTTAATGATATTCTTGGCAGCGTGAGTCGAGTAACTAACGTCTGAATCGGGCTATGATAATAGGGCTATATGATCTAGTCCCCCCGAAGAATTACTCTAAGCGACTTTGAGCTTAAGAGTAAGTTTAGTAATTGGGCCTTCCTTTTTCTTTCGTTGGTGAGTCGTCTTCGTCTTTACTCTCAAATCGTCTCGTCAGCGACTCATGTAATTCTCAAAGGACGCTTATGGTTCAACTTTATTACTTACGAACTTTTCCTGAGCATATCCACTATCATTATTTCGAATTTCGAATTTTTGAATTGGGACCTGACACGCCGCCTCA